TTAACCCTAGCGAGGGGAAGCTGCAGAGTTTTGTTTGGGATTTCCCCAATTGTTCTAATCATTTTTTATCCCCCGTAAATTGTATAGGTGTCCAGTAATACGTAGCTTATAGGGCTACGTATTGACCAAAATGCTCAGTTGATTGGAACACATGGGTAAACATGAACGTCACGCTTAGGGGTTGACGTGTGTTTTACTGGTGTTTCACTAATACGTGGCGAGCGTACCGTTCGGCCAAACCGACCAATGATGACTGTACAGCCTGTGCCTCGTGGGCTGTTCACGCAATGCAGACTGCGCAGTTCCGGGTCGGTGGTGTGTCCGCGGTGAGTGTCGCGTGAGGCACTTACATCGACAGAGCTTTGCCCCACGATCCTGTGACTAGGGGCTGACGGACCACACACTGCTGCTTTGCGGAATGTTGTTCGGGCTTTGTCCGATGACTAATGCTCGCTATTAAACCCAAACTCTTGATGTGTTGATTTTAATACAATGAAGTCCTCTGTCATGTTTGTAGAGTACATGTAACGGGCCAATTCCGTTTTTTAATGCCACAATATGCTAGATGATGGCAAACACTACTACATGGGGCGTGGTCAACCTCTGGTGCAGATACAATAGCGATCCAATGGTTAATTGGATGTTGAAGCAGAACGTATGCGCCAACACTATATATTGTCAGTTCAAGCATCAGATGCACTGTGCGTGCATTATGCTACTTAGAGCTACATGATCAGAGTGAACCCACAAAAGGGACGAAGCACACTCACGTTGCACGATGAGGGAGTCATCCCTAAAACGCACGAACTAACCATCCTTAGATCCCGACCCCTCCTCATGCGATGCATACGCATGCCCAGAATTTCCACCAGCTCGCATTCGGGCGATTTTGTCGGCGCGAGCATCTGCTTCCTCCAAGTTGGCGTTAATTGCAGCTCTCTTCTTTTCGTCCCTGCGCGTTTTCTCGTCCCACTTTGCCTTCGCTGCAGGCCAATACTTCCTCCACTCCTCCCACATGTGCCAGAACTTCATGCGGACCATCACCTCACACTGGTGTGCAGAACAATCGCTGAGCTTGGCCTTGTCGGCGGCGGTCAAGAGAATGAGCTCCCCACGCGTTGGCTTGTCAACGAACATCACGTGCGACGCTGCGGCTATCGACCTTGCCGCCTCTTCCTCCGTTCCAAAGTGGCTGTTGATGACGATCAGCGACTGAGATGCGCGGTCTAGGACGATCCTGGCGATCCACTCGTCCTTATCCAGCTTCTTTGTGACGCCCGTCCACCCCCTTTTGCCGGGCACCTCACCGATCTCCCCTCCCTGGGTCGCGGGCGCCATAGATGAGGAGGCTGCAGGTGAGGGCAGTACATGTTGGGACCCCTGCATCAAACCGGGGAGCATGCTCGATAAACCGCGACCCTGAGCGGCGGTTGTGTGACCTGGTTGGCTGTTGGTATCGTCGAGCACCTCATCAGCGGCGAGGAAAGGAGCAGAAGGATGCAGCGGGGGACGAAGCGTCGAAAAGGGCAGTTGCAGTAAGTCGCTTGGCTGTACAGTACCGGGGTAAACCGCGCTGGGAGGTTGATGTGCAAACCCAATCGGCCATGAATGAGCGGCGGATGAGGTGGCCACCTGCTGAATAGCGCCTGCATTCTGCGCAAACCCCACCGCAGATGGTGCGCGTACACCCTGCATATGCGCCCCTGTGTGAAAGGCAGATGGGGCAAAGAACTGTTCCCCCGAAGACCATACAGAAGAAGCCCTTTGAACATCAGGTGCCCTTGCAGTGCCTGCCGCCACAACCGACCATTGAGCACCCTGGACCTCGGCTGCTGAAACCCCTAAACCCGCGGCGCCAGTCGGAACACCGGATGCTGCCGTTGCGTGACCGGCCGATGCCGTCGGAACACCGGTTGCTGGACCTGCATGACCTGCGGCTACAGTTGGGAAAATCACGGCTGCACCTGTATGGCCCGTAGAGGCGGTAGGAATGAAGGCTGCTGCACCTGTCTGACCAGTCGGTACGGTAGGAACACTGCCTGCTGCATGAAGTGCACCTCGCAGACTTGATGCCGCTCCTGGCATACCCGATGCTGCACCTGGCTGTCCAACCCCTTGTGTCGAAGCACCGGCAGAGGCACCTGCCTGCCGCCGAGCAGATGGAAAAGCAACATCAGGTGCACCTGCCTGCGCCGCTGAAGCTCGCTGAGCACCTTCACCGTTCCCTGCCAGGCCACCTGCCGCTGTAGTAACACCTGCTGCAGAAACCGGCTGACCTTGCGTGGTGCTAGATGGGACGGCCGCGAGAGCAGAGTGACCCGCCTCGGACTTGTGTGCACCGGGTGTGGCACCCTGGCCTTGGACAGTACATGGCGTCGTCGCGCAAATTGTTGGGCGCGCATGTGACGGAGCGGTGGTGGAAGCGTGGGGAACAGCGATCATGTTCACTGGAGCTTCCAATGATGCTGCGGGCGTACGATGGGGCGGAGGGGCTGCAGCGGTAGAGGTGGTGGGTTCGTCGCTGTTCAAAACCTCCACTAAACCCGTCGGCAGCTTGAACCCTGTCTTGGCAGCCATCCCCTGGACGGCCGTGAAGAGTGACGACAACATACCCATCACTTTGTCGAGTCCCTTTTCTCCACTGTAAACGGAGTCTTTCAGAGACTCCATGTCTTCATGCAGGCCCTTCAGCTGTGCAGCATGAGACAACTGCTCCGCCGCCAAATCCTGGATGGTTGGCTCCTCTATCTCCTCAACTCCGCCCTCGCTATCACTCTCGTCCCCCCCGTGCTGATCACTCTGTGGGGGAATGTCGGCCCCCTTCAATGCCAGCGATTCCAGCAGTGTACCTGCACCAGCCTCGCACATCAGACCCCGAATTTCGCGCCTGCATTTGGCACCACTGTAACGAGGATGATTGATCCCTTCTTCCAGGCATTCGAAAGCTCGGCCCACAAGCTCCTTGGAGAACATACAGACGTAGACCCCGCAGTCCACACTGTTCTGTTGCTGGGGTATCTCGAAGTACTGCAGTACAAAACATAAGAGTAGTATCAAACACAGAGTAGACATGCGTGGTAAACCGAGTCCCGCATGTCTGTTGACATGCGTGGTAAACCCTAAACCCTGGCATACTCACTTCAAGTGCACGGCTGCTGACGCGTGAGACCCTCTCTGTCACAACCACCCACGGCATATCAGGGTTGGCCTTTTTAAGGGCCCTCATAAGCAGCCTGCGGAGGTATAACGAGAGAAAAGGGATCATGAAAGCGAGGAGCAGGCGTGGTGTTGATAACAGGTGTCACGCCACAACGAAAGAAGAATCATGATGAACTCACTCGTTGATGTTTGTGAATATTGCCTCGCACATGTCATAGTGCACGCGCGCGGAGTCGTACAGTACAGCTTTTACGGGTACTCGTGGCTTCAATGCATCGTATTCCTCCTGACTAAGCAGCAGCAGACGGGGGTCCTTGACAACGACCAGGCTGAAATGATGAATAGGAACTCTGCAAACAAACATTAAGCCCGGGAAGTATGGTTAGGCATGACACGGAGTGGTAAAGCCGGTTCTGGAATACCATCTCCATGACTTCCATAATGTCTGAAACTCTTACTTGGTGAAAACCACGATGCAAAGGTAGTCGTGCTCGAAGAGAAGTTTGCAATCGACGCCGCATGCTAGCTCCTGTCCCCCGGTGACGGTTTGGTAGGCGAGCGTGTCAAGAGCCAACCAAGTTTTCCCGTCGTGTAATTTTTTGTGATAAAGGCTCAAAACCCTGGAAGAATACGTACAATACACGTCATGTACACGATGAAGAGGATTAAGTAAAACAAGGCACACGCTGAACGTGACTCACACGTGGTAAAAGTCGATGGTTGACGTTGTCAGCTCGTATCCATCCTGTATGTGGAGGGCATCCATCATAGTCACCTTCGCTCGCTGGTCGTAATGGTTTTTAATCTCACGGGAGGGGAAATGGTCACTCTTAACCGACCTAGGTAGCTTATCGGTCGCGCAGTCTGGAACTCTGACTCCCTTAGCGAACCTCGATATTATGTCGTCTGGCTCGGGGAGCACTTGCACGCCTTCTAAATTAACGGGGACCTTGAATTCAGGGGACGGAGCCGGCTTATTAGCGCTCCGGTTTGTTCGTCTCCCCCGCGCGACAGGTGCCTGGCTACTAGCAGGTGGGTGGCCCTTGGCGCGTGCGGCCAGCCTAGTTTGCGTCATGGTGCAGAGGCGGATTTAAGACCAACAATGGAGATGAGTATGCTGTGCTACGCATCACCTCGAATGAAAAGTAAGAGGAACAATGGTGGCCGCTCAAAGCCGCCAATACTCTAGGCTCACGAGATGGTGGTAATGTGCTCACGAGACGTTGACGGCGGAGAAGCCGAGGAGAAGTAATGACGAAGGAAGGACAGACTGTTGCATTGTGAATGCAACGGTGCTTAACCCGCCCAGTGAAGTCCAAGGTGGCACGCTGTTATTGACTGGAACCCTGACATTGAGGGTTCTCGAACATCACGCGAGGCAAGTTCGTGCACGCGTCCTCTGCAAGATATTTCCAAACCCAATTTCATCATTGCCACCGCTGCTTGCTCAGCTGAGGTGGACAGCGCATAGATAAAGACGAAGTTGTAATGATTTGTGCAACCTTACCAAAAAAAAGTGAGCCTGACCACGACATCACTGAAAGTGTACTAAAGTCATTTTTAATGGGGAAAACTGACCGCGGGAATCGGGCGCGGTCGCGTGGGGGGGGTAGTGGGAAAACCACTGCCCGTTGGAATTGGAGACGAGCAAGCACCGCGGTTCGTCATTTCCTCCCAAGACTCCTTCCTTTTATTCGGTGTCTGGCAAAGGGTGGCCTTTTCATCCCAACCCAATCCCAAAAATGCTCCCAAGCCGCCTAGCGGTCTGGCCCGACGACCGTAGAGCACACGTGGCGCGTACTCCCATCAGGCGGCGTTTCTATTCCCAGCGGCTCAATTCAATGCCTCCCGGTCGCGCGAAATCATGGAGCTGTTCTCGCAAGCGTGCTTCCGTGTTCGCCGTGCTCCCAGCAACGCAGGTGGCGCTCGTGGTGGCCGCGCTGTTGAGTCATTCCGGAGCGTGGATTGCGGTCGCGAGGGGTCAGACCATCGCTCCATCTCAAGGCACGTTCGCTTCGTCGCTCTCCGTGCTCCGCCGCGTTTCACGAATCCTGTCAGCGGATGACGCTTTAGTTACACGTTTTCGAGTTGACTTTGCGTCGACTCAAAAGCCGTTTCGTCGCCCTCCGTGCTCCACCGTTTGGGAATTCTGTCAGTGAATGATGCTTTTGATTCCAGGCTTTCACAAAAATCGTCACCGAATGTTGTTTTCAAGTTCCTGCTTTCACAAATTTTGCTTGCCATAATCGAAAAGGTTTCCGGGGTCGTAAAAGAAAGCTCTTTCTCTATTCCCCCTCGTTCCAATTCCCAATGCTTGACTGCCAGTGAACCACATTGAGCCACAATAGCGTCAATTTCCACTTCAAAGCCGTTCTCTTTTCCTCTTTCCAGTTCCCGGATTGCTGGCCTGTCAAGCCGCATGGTATGTTATATTCAGTCCGTGGCTTTCAATTGGCTCAGTTGTTGTTATCTCTTCCTCTTTCCAGTTCCTGGGTTGCTTGACTGTCAGGCCGCATGGGGAGTCACATTCAACCAATGGCAGGAGGGGGGCGACTGTAGCCAGGCGGATGGCCTCACATGTGACAGTAACGGAATGATCATGAGCATGTGCGTCTCGCCCCTTTTTCCTGCGTTTCCAAGAGTCAGAGTAAGATATCACCCGCTTTTTGTTTGTTTGTTTTTCTGGAATATACGGACATGAATTTACTTTGTTGTTCCACATGTGCTGGCACCGGAGGGGTAATGCAGTCGCCACCTAAATGCATCATGCAACCTTGGGGTGATGTGATGGATTTTCCTCATGCACCATACATGATGCGGTGTCAATGCAGGGCGCTGGATGAGATGGGGCTGTCAGGCTCGCTACCAACATCCCTCGGATCATTTATCAATCTCTCCTACCTGTACGAAATTTTCATCCTAACCTGCCAGCCTATACGATCATCTTTCCTGCTCTCCCTTGCTTCGGTACGTTTTCACAATCCCCTTGCAGAGTTCAGATACAGTGTTCTAAACAAATCAGGATGTGCATTTTGTCCTTTCTATTTTAGAGTTTGAAGCTGCCGTTTCTCCTGCTCTGCTTTGCATCTTCTTCCTGTGTATATGCGGCCTTGCCGTGCACCTTCCCTTTGGCCCATGCTGGCTTTTATTGGCATACAACACGCATGCATCCCCCATCATCCCCATCTTTGTATGTGCACGGCACATAACCACCTGCCTGCATGCCACCCCACCCCACCCCACCGCACTGCACCACCCTGTAAGAGCAGTAGTCTGTGGAGCAACTCGCTTACGGGGGAACTGCCTTCCACCATCAGTGCACTGACGGCTCTCAGTGACATGTGAGTTTGTGTGTGGGGGTGTGTGTGAATGTGTGTGAGAGTGAATGTGAGTGTGAATGTCATTGCGAGTGCGTGTGTGTGTGTGAGTGTGTGTGTCTGTGAGTATGTGTGTGTGTGTGTGTGTGAGAGAGAGAGAGAGAGAGAGAGAGAGAGAGAGAGAGAGAGAGAGAGATTGCAGTCGGTGCTCGGCCCTGGTGCGGGAGATTGGCTGCTGGCACTACCCATCATACCCTCGCTTAGGATGGGGCCCTCCCAGCTCTCCTCCGCTGCTGCGTTCCGCCTAGGCCTCCCCCTACCGGTCCCCAGGCGCTGCGACTGCCGCTACCGCACCAAATTCCCTGATGACCGCCTTCCAAACCATCTCATGCGTTGCGAGAAAGGGGGGGGAAGGATTGCGACTCACCATGCGCTCAGGGACGAGATCGTCTTGATTGCAGCAGAGGCGGGATTCACGGTGCACAAAGAAACTTACGTTTACTCTCTCGTTGAAAACCTGAAGGCGGACGTTGCAATCCGCCATCCCCGGACGGGAGAGGTCTGGATGTGCGACGTGACAGTGACGGACCCCGTTTCTCACCAAGATGAGAACTGCAATAGAGCACCGGGGTGGGCGGCTAGGGCAGCTGCAGACAAGAAGGAGCAGAAATATGCGCGCCGGAATGCGTGGGTGGGCTTTCATGCCCTAGCGGTTGAGACATATGGGTACCCCTCGCCTGGGGTGTTGGCATTCTTGCGGCAGTGCGCGGAGCTGGCGGCCAAGCTGCGATTCAACGCAGCCCCCAACTCCTACGAGGCCGCCAAGCTGCTGATGGAATACCGCCAGCGCTGGAGCGTGTGCCTCCAAAGAGCACAAGCCAACGCCCTCCGCTGCAAGACCAATGAGGCGATAGCAGCGGACGAGCTCGGCATGCGGGGCCCCTTTGCCCCCCTTAGTGAAGGCCAGCTCTACCAGCTAATAGAGCCCCCGTTCGACCTTTAGGGTCGGACAGAGGGGCCGGGGGGAGTAAGGGAAGGAGGTAGTTAGGCAGACCGAGTGTTATGTGTGGGTTTACATGTGTTTGCATCTACCCATGTACCTCCCATCAATCAATACAAGGACCATTCGAGAGAGAGAGCGTGTGTGTGTGTGCGAGAGAGAGGGATTGCCTCGTGTGTACTCAACTGCCTTCCACCATCAGTGCACTGACGGCTGTCAGTGACATGACATGTGAGTGGCTCTCACTACTTTATCCATATCCCCCTCTCTCCCTCTTCCCCTCTCCCCCTCTCCCCCTCTCTCCGCTTCTTCCCACCACTTTGTTCTTGACTTCAATCAACTCACTGGGTCACTGCCTCTCTTGTACCGCGTTACTCTCTTATTTTCCCCCACTCTCCCTCCTCCACACCACAACGTTCTCGGCTTCAACCAGCTCACTGGGTCACTGCCTCACTCTAACCCCTTCACTCTGCCCCACTCCCCTCCTCCCCGTCTCCCCTTCTCCCCTTTTCCCCCTCCCCCTCTCTCGCCTCTCCTCCTTCTCCCCATCACAGTGTTCTCGGCTTCAACCAACTCACCGGGTCGCTACTGCAAGGCCTCTCCACACTTTCTCGTCTCTCCCGGCTGTAAGCATCTCATCATGCTACGTTACATCTAATGCTTTACTTTCTCTCTCTTCCGTCATTCGAGAAGTCCCGAAAGCCCTCTCCAGACTCTCTCGTTTCTCCCTGCTGTAAGCCGCTCTATCCTGCTAGGCTGCTATCCCACAGCTGTTGCTTTATTCGTACTCCTTTATCCTTCTTACTCCCACAGCTAGGCTTTATCCCACAGGGTACTTTCTGTGCTTTATTCTTACCCTAATCGTTCATTCATCCCATGGACCACTTGTAAGGCGTTTGGAAAGGAAAGTACTCTGAAATGTATTCTCACCACTCTCTCGTCTTTCCATGCTGCAAGCACCTCACTCCTGCTACGTTACAGATGCTGCGTTTCTCACACTCACTCCTGTGACACACCCTATTCGTTCATTCATTTTTGAGTCGACTCAAAAATAGGCTCCTGTGACACACCTCCCTCCCCTCCTGCTTTCCCGTTCCTTCCTTTCCGCAACGCCTCCTGCTTTCCCGTCCTTAACTTTCCGCAGCCCAATGGGCAAATACGTTTCGCCAGCCCAAAGGGCAAATACGTTTCGCCAGCCCAATGGGCAAATACGTTTCGCCAGCCCAATGGGCAAATATTTTTCGCCAGCTCTCTTTGTTGCTCTCTTGCAGCCTCTCCTCCTCACCACCTCCCACCCTCTCCACCACCTTCCCCTCTCCTCCCTCTCTTCTTCTGGCGTCTCCTTCTCTTCCTTTCTGCAGTGCACTCGGCAGTAACCGCTTCGCCGGTTCTCTCCCCGATTGGATTGGCGGCCTGTCCCTCATGGAAACACTGTGAGATGCCAGCCACTTTGGGTACCTTGGGGGCCATGGGAGACCACAGCGGGCATGATTAACTGCCTTCAGATATCGCACCTATAAGAGCAATGAGCCTCAGGATCCAGCTGGCGCCCTTTGTGCAATGCATGATTCCTGAGGCTCCTTCAAAGCAGGCCTCGAGCAGCAGAACATGCCTCTCTGAGGGCTCACTATAGAAGTATCCCACCTTCTCCTTCTCCCCACCTTCTCTTTCATTAGATACTTTCGTGCTCTCCCTCTCCCACCTTTCCATGAACCCTTACAAACAGGGACATCGGCAATGATATCTTATCAGCGCTCATCCCTTCTCTTGTGGAATCACTCCCCTCTCCACTCCCTTGTCCGTTTCCTTCCCCTATCTCCTTCCCATGCAATTCCACAGGGACGTCAGCAGGAATAACTTATCCGGCCTCATCCCTTCCTCGATCGGCACTCTCCTCAACCTCACCTTCCTGTCAGTTGCTCCCCTCTCTTCTCTTTTTCTTTCATCTCATCCTTTCACTCTCTTCTTTTTAGGCTCCTCAAATGCAACCTTTATTCGCATTCTCCTCAGCCTTACCTTACTGCCTGCCAGTCCCTCTTCTCTTTTGAACTCTCTTCTGTGCAGAAAAAAGACCTCTATCCCATCCGTAGCCTTCTCCGCCCCATTCTTGCTCCTTCTCTCCATCTTGCCCCACTCTATCACGCCCATCACTGCTCTCCCATCTATCCCGCCCATCACTGCTCTCCCATCTATCCCGCCCATCACTGCTCTCCCATCTATCCCGCCCATCACTGCTCTCCCATCTGTCACGCCCATGCATGCAGGAGCCTCGAGTACAGCGCCTTCACAGGCCCTCTTCCCGCCTCCCACTTGCCCCCCCCTCGTTTCCTTACCCTTGTTTCCCCACTCCATCTCGCCGCTTTCAACCCCAAACATCACTGCTCCCAACCCAACTATCACGGCCATGCAGGAGCCTTGAGTACAACGCCTTCACAGGCCCTCTTCCTGCCACCCTCGGTTCCCTCACCACCCTCGCGTACCTGTGAGTTGCTTGCCAGCAATTTGTGAGTGCCTTGTAACTCAGTGGTGACAGAATTGCTTCAAGAGTCACACCTTCTGCCACCCTCGGTTCCCTCACCACCTTCGCATACCTTTGAGTCGCCACCTGCACAAGAGAAACAACCTGTCGGTCTTTATTTGAGTTGACTCAAAAGCACCTGCACAAGAGAAACAACCTGTCAGTCTTTATTTGAGTCGACTCAAAAGCACCTGCACAAGAGAAACAACCTGTCAGTCTTTAGCGATTTGTGAGTGCCTTGTGCCTCACTGGTGACAGAATTGCTTCAAGAGTCGCACCTTCCCGCCACCCTCGGTTCCCTCACCACCCTCGCATACCTGTGAGCTGCACAGAGGAAACAAAAGCTGACCTGTGACTCTTCAGCGAGTTGCTTCTGAGAATTCTGTAAAGTGACACACACAAGCTCTGCCCTCGGCTCCCTCGGCTCACCCTTGTGTACCTGTGAATTGTCAAAACCTCGCTTCCATACCCTATCCCTGAAATCCGCTTCTCTAGTCCTTGTTCCCTCCCTCGTCCCATGTGCAGTAACATAGACAGCACTCACTCATGTGCCGTGCTACCCCAGAAACTGTGAGGTGCCTCAGGACCCGCTTCTTGAAACGGCTTCCGTATCAGCCGCCCCACCTTCTTCTCGAAACCCCAGTCTCCTATCCTTCTTCCCTCCTGCACCCCACGTGCAGTTACATAGACAACACATTGCTCCCCTCCGCAACCACCCTCGCCCTCCTGTGAGGTGCCTCAGGACCCGCTTTCCGTCTTCTGTGTCGACTGCCGCGTCTTCTTCTAAGAGACCCCACTCTCCCACCCTTTGTCACTCCCTCATCCCACGTGCAGTAACGTAGACAACACGTCGCTCGTCTGCCCCACTACCCCAGCCTCCTGTGAGGTGCCTCAGGACCCCCTATCCGTCTTCTGTGTCGACTGCGCCACCTTCTGCTCCCAGTGCTCTGCTGCGGGTAAGCCTCTCTGCTTCCTGCCGCAGCTCATGTCTCACTTACCTGTTTTGAAAAGTTTCAAGGACGCCATTCAACCTTCCTCCTTCGGCTCGTGACCATCTAGATCTATAGACGTGCAGTCAGATCCATGGCTCTCCCTTCAAATTGACTTTTGAGTCGTCTCAAAAGTCACTTCGTTTTGAGTCAACTCAAAATTCATCTGTAGACGTGCAGTCAGATCCATAGCTCTCTCTTAACATTGTAAATCCCCCACATGCCATGTCACCTGCTCTTCCACTTGTCAGCCTTTCCCCCTGCCCACCCAGAGTCCCTCCTACTCCTTCTTCAACTTCTCCTGCTGCTACCAAACCCTTGTCCCTTGGCCGAATCCATTCACTCTTTTTACATTCCCTTGACAGACACCTAGCTCCACAGTCCCTTCGCTTCCGTATCTTTCCAAGTCAGTTGCATAATCCTGTCCCTAGATCCGTTGTTTATTTTATCATATGACTGATGTTTGTCATTCCTATTCCCTCTTTCCCCTGCCTGTTATGCCAACTCCGAAGCTCCACAAGCCCCGCCGATCCAGCCACCACCAGCACCACCACCAGCAGCACCATCACCATCAGCACCAGTACCTTCGCCCGTCCCGCCTCCACCATCCCAACCACCAGCTGCAGCACCAGCATCACCACCCGCAGGGCCACCATCACCAGCGCCAACGCCACCATCAGCACTATCTCCTTCCATCAGCCCACCCATCCCATCCTCACCATCCCCACCACCAACAACAACACCACCATCACCATCACCACCACCAGCACCACCAGCAGCAGCACCACCAGCAGCAGCACCACCAGCAGCAGCACCAGCACCGAAACCTGCCTCGCCAGTGGCTGTGAGAGCCCTCCACGCCAATGCAATGACGGCTTTCGTGCTAGCCCTCCTGATTGCTGCCTTTTAATGCGAGTTGATGTCAATATCAACATGATTTTGTGGAGTATGACTGTATGATGAGTTATCTTTATTGTTGTCAGTTGATTAGCATAATTACTTAGTTCTCAGCTAGTAAACACAAAATTAAGGTGAACATATGAGGGGGGATCTGTGCATGGTGGTGTTTCTGCTAGAAGCTACGCACACCTTGCACCTGCATTGTCTTTATTAGTTTGTATTGCCAGTTTATTTGAACCTCTACGTTCATCACGTCTGTCATAGAACAGTGTACTGTTGCACATTGGGCGAGGTTGTATGTGCCACATCAGAATTTGCGAGGAAGCCGATGGTGCACCCACACCAGCGAAGTTCGTCCGAAAACGAGGTTGGATCAAGCGGGTCGCATGCGTGTGTGGGACTTCGCGATTCGATTCACGCCCGTGTATCCTCCCTTTCCGCTCCAGGGCCCTGTTCGACTGGCGCATCAGGGTTTAGGCCTTGTACCGGAGCCTAAACCCTGATGCGCCAGTCGAACAGGGCACAGAAGTTTTCCACCACAAGCTCCCCCCACCACTTAGGCATGGAAACTTCCAACAACCTCCAATGTTCGTCGTGACGTGACAGCCACGGAAGTTGAGGCGCAGGTCAACGCAGGGTCAACGAGTTGAGTTGAGCTCTGCTTCCCCTACCGAGCTCTCGAGTTGCATATCGAGTTATAAAACAGTCGAGGCTGTCTCCATGCTGCCAACACAGACCAATCCGATATCGTATTACCCTCTCTCACGTCACTGACACAAATCGTACTTCATCGTTCAACGATCACTTAATCTTCGTGTCGAAAGCTCTATCTTGTGCCGCACAAGATCGTCAAACCCTAACTTGTGTCGGCGGCCGACACGTCTTGCGAATAGCCTCTTCAAAACCCCTGGGTCTGCCTTTCCGTCACTCACGTGGCCCACGCTCGCGTGATATTCACAGCCGTGACTCACTGAGTTAGCATGGGTCCAAAGATGGGTGCATTTCCCACAATAGTGGCACGTACCTTTCTCGTCACGCTCATAACAATGCTTCCGGCGGTTTCTGCCTCCGCCGCACGAAAAGCGTCGCCTGAAGGCGTGGCGACGAGCGGTAAGGCTGCGCAGGAATTTAGTATCCCTTGGCGGGCAATACGGCGTCCAATGCGGGGACCCAGCGACCAGATCTCCGTCTCTCTTTCTGAAACGCCCGCATTGCAGCCGAACAGCGCTTCTGCAACTCCGGCGGGGGTTCCGCAACCCTCCGCTCTCCCTTCCGCCGCCCCTCCGGGAGCAAGGCTCATTCCCCTTCGTGGCGCGAGTTCTGCGCGATCCGCCGAGTCCCCATACGCAATAGTACGGAATTCCACTGCAACGACCCAAAGCGCGTCCGCGACGCGGTTCGTCCCTCTCAGGCTGCCTCTCGGGAAGCTTCAGCACCAGCAGCAGCGGCGCGAGGTGGAGGGCGCGACGGACACTGCGAACCAGGGCGGCCCGATACTGGCCTATTCGAAGGAGTACTTAATCTACTATGGGACCTCGACCGAGGGGTCCGGCCAGGATGTGACTGGAAATTTCGAGAACTCGTTGGGCGGAGACACGGAGACAAGGGGATCCGGGGGATCCGGGGCGTCTTCAAGCAGAGCTGCGCATGCTCCCCAAGTCGACTCAAAAGTCAAATCGTTGGGCGGAGACACGGAGACCCAGCGGGGGATCCAGGGCGACCCGACGGGGGAGAGCAGCGGGCGTATTTGGTGGGACATGTCGACCAACTCCTACCAGACTAACGATGACGGCTCCCAGCCGTTCGTCAGTCCCGAGGTGGGTGTGTATGATAACGCCCTAAGCCCCGTGTCCCTTGTCCCGTGTCCCTAGTAGTAGTCGACGCGTACCGTGTCGCTTCATTTTTTGGTCGCCACCGACTGCCTCTCGCCTCACATCGTTTCGCTCCATTCAGTTCACTTCTCTTCTCGTTCTCAAGGTACTCCATTCAGTTCAATTCACTTCTCTTCTCTTCACTTCACTTCCCATTCTCTCTGCTCTCGCCCAACACACCCCTCACCCGAATTCGAGACAGGTCATGTTGGGCGGCCTGGTCACGGACGACAGTTTTAACGGCTGGGAATCCATCTACTGCACTTTCACGGACGACGGATCTGACGGCTGGGAATCTGACTTCGATTATAGTCCGAGTGAGTCATGCGCGTAATTTTACTGTTGGGAATGTGTATGTCACTGGAGATAATTATTAAAGTGGATCCAACGGCTGCAAAATCATCTAAACGGGGATGAGTGAGTCATGTGAGTGAGTGAGTGATTTTGCTGCTGGAACTAACAGCAAAACGGGACCGAACCGAGGTGACTTTTGAGGACGCGTTGAAAGTGCAAATATTGCAGGATCGTCTGCATATATCGATCCCCACAATCGAGTGGGCAGATCGTTTGGCGAAACGTGGCGACCGCGAAGCTGTAACGATCGCGGCTGAAAATTGACAGATTTCCTGCGAAAAGTGATCAGTCGCATTCTCACTGCACAAAAAAAATGGCCAGAAAGCTTACTGTAGCATGGTTGCAACGTAGTTAATAGGGTAACTGATCGGCACATCGGTCGCTGCTGACGATCGAACGTCTACTTTCACCGCGTCCGGAGTCGACTCAAAAGTCACCTTGCTGTTGGAACTTGCAGCGAAACAGGACCGAACCACGCTTGACTTCGACTCATGCTGGTCTCTCCTGCCGTGAATGCGTGCTGTGATTGCGTGCTGTGATTGCGTGCTGTGATTGCGTGCTGTGATTGCGTGCTGTGATTGCCTGCTGTGATTTCCTGGTATGATAGCCTGGTGTGATTTCCTGCTGTGATTTCCTGCTGTGATTGCCTGCTGAACTAACGTCTGCCGTGATTGCCTGCTTCCTGCTGTCCCTCGCCCGCCATTGTTCTCCAGTCTACACGCAAGACACGTTTGGAATCTACCTCGTGCTCGTGATTGCTTGTTGGCTACTAATAGCCCTTAGTTCATTCTATGCGTACTGTATTCTCCCGGACATAACACCCTAGGGTATAGCTAAAAATACAGGGAAAAAATGGGGGGGGTCTCCTCATTGGAAAAAAAACATAATACCCGGGTCTTTACATATGGCATATTTTAGTGTTAGTGTTTTTTTAATTAGTCAATGTGGGTGTTTTGCTGTCAGTTTCGGCCTCAAACTTCTTCGCCCTCACGAAAATGCCATGTGACACCTCTCTTGCCACTTGCAACGGAAGATTCACCTGCACGTGGCAACAGAGAAATAGTGGGAGGGGGCAAATCTCGGCAGATTGCCTTTGAATGTGTTGAGAATATGTTTGTATGCTTTTATTGTAAGTGCACTGTTCGAAGTGTGTTTACAGGGGCTCGCCATAGCGAGGGATTTGAAACTGGTGGCGAGTCAACAGGACGCAACCGAGCACAGCGGTTGCGACCCGCGTGGCAGCTCAAGAGTCGAATCGACAGCAGGAGTCATCGTCTACAGTACGCGAAACTGACCTGTAGGGCGCGGCAGGATACCGCGCCCTTGCCGAAGCTGAAAAGTCTCGCCAGCACGACTGTAACAAGGCAACCCAAGCGACGCAGCGCAACTGTTATACAGTTGCGCCTTGGTAACTGTTTGCCCTATGCGTTTGCTATATAACAGAATGTAATGCCTTGCTCATATTACACAATTCTCAAGCTTGTGTCCGGCCTACCCTCGGCCGCTGCTTTGGCACCACGTTACAAGCCAGGAGAGCTAACTCTGAGTGACCAATAGCCCCGCCGTAGGGACGTCGTTAATTCCTAGAGCTTCCGCTGCGCTCTAGCGACTTCTTATTTCCAACAGAATGTACCGCGAAATTTCATTGAGGGAGAAATTCACACGATATTCTTCCGTATTGCAGCTACCCGTTAACGACTATAATAATGAATCCGTAAGAATAGGGGGGTGTTATAGAAAATCAGCCAAAAAGGGGGGGTATAGTAGAAATGAGGTCTATCATAACACCCACCCCGCACAAGCTACCCGGGGGTCTACAATTATGGGGGGGTGTTTTGTCCGGGAGTATACGGTACATGTGATGCTCACCTCCTGCACGCGAATTTGCCTTGCACCCGGTTGGTTTTGTTCCATGACGTTGCACCCCATTTACAAGC